TTTTTTTTTTTTTTTTTTTGTTTTTGTTTTTGTTTTTGTTTTTGTTTTTTCTGTTTAGAAAATTCTCCAAAATAGAATATTGGGTTGTTTGGTATTTTTCCCCTCCAGAATAGCTAGCCCTTTTTCTCTCTCAGCGATTCTGTTTGCTCTGCTGGTCCTTGGAAGAAAAAAAAAAAAAAAAAGAAAGCTATTGTTTCTGGACAGTTTAGATATGGAAATGATCGTGTCGGATAATGAGTTTCAATTTAAATAACTTGTTCTGGTATTTGGTCTATTTGTTTAGATGCTTAGCCGGGCTCTTATTTTATCCACTGTTTTCTTCTCAAAAAGTGGTTTCTTTCCCATAATAATGGTAACACTCTGCCGTTAATAAAACCCTGCGTCGCCCGCCTCCAAAAAAGTTGAAACAGCCTAATTTAGGTTGAGCCGAACAGCTCCAGTGGTGGAAACTGCCTGCCCGCTCACGTCCCCAAACAACCAGCGGCTTATTTTATTCGTATCCTTCTTCAACTCCCACAGCAAAATGGTCAACTTCTATTCTTAAAAAAAAAACCAAAACCAAACAAAAAAAAAACCCGCCCAAACAACAAAAATCTTCCAACAAAACAAACAACAAAAAAAAACCCTACTACTAAGAATCAACGAAAAACCATGAAAATTATCTCTTCTTTTGTTTTCCTCCCCCTGTACTGTGGTTTCATTATTTAATCTCTGATCAAATGAGATTATCTGTACCCTTTAGTGAAGGCAGCAGACGTCTTTAAACTGGTTTAATTGATTTATCGTTTTGTTGTTTTGTTTTGTTTTTTTAAACAGAAAGTGCATTACATTTAACTGGTTTTGCAAAGGGCTTTTCTTCTCTTTACAAACCGAATTATTTTTAATATAAATTAATAAATGTTAAGATGCTATATCACGATATATCATCGTTATTATCTTAAAAAAGAAAGAAAGAAAACAATTTACATTCTCTAGTATTCCGTATGATACAAAAGAAAGCACACTTTAAATTCAAATACAGCAACTAAATGAATTTTATATTTTGACTGACAGTGGCTGTGACAATTCCCACCAGCTACTTTTTCAACACGCAGTTGATTGGAAACGGTGTAAATGAAAGCAAACTTTGTCCCTCCGCCCTCTCCCACACCCCCTCCCCCGCACGACGACGGCAACAGAAAGTGTTTCAAAAATACTAATAAATAGCACGTGGGGCCGCCGCAGTTTCGGCCCGCGGGAGGAACCACTGGCGACCACGGCGGTGCCGCTGCCGCAGTCCCGGGGGCTCCTGCGGTGCCCCCGCTGCTGCCAGGGAGCGCGGGGCAGGCGGGGCGGCTGCGCCCCCGGCCCCCGCTGTACAAAAAAAAGAAGGTATTTTACATTTTAAATATTCACAGTAAGGAACGCCTATGGTCGCGGTGACTCACGGTTTATTTACAAAGAGCCGGCAAAGACGCGGCCGCCGCACGGCCGGGAGCGGGGCCGGGGGTCAGGGCAGCCCCCACCGCTCCCCTCCGCCCGCCACCCTACAACAACACGCGGCGCCGGGGACCGGGAGCGCCCGCCGGGGCCCGCTGCCCGCAGTCCTCTCTGCTCCCCCTCCGGCGTCTCTTCCTCCTCCTCCCGGGCGCGTAGAGTCTAGAAAAATAGATCTGTACATCTCCGAAAGCGGCGGCGGGCGAAGCGGGCTAGACGGAGGCCTCCCCCTCCGGGGGATGCAGCAACAGCCCGCCGCCCCCCGGCTTGTGTTTCTTCAGGAGCTGCGTTATCTTCTCGTCGTCCGAATTGGGGTCCAGGGGTTTATTGTAGTCGTCGTCCTCCTCCTCGTTCTCCGAGGAGCCCTTCAGCCGCTCCGTCTCCGAGTCCTGCTTCTTCTTTGCGGTCGCCATCTCCGCCGCATGCTTCTTCCGCCACTTGGTCCGTCGGTTCTGGAACCAGACCTGCCCCCGCCGCCACCGTCACCATCACCGGCACGGCCACCCGCGGCGGCTGGACCGGGCCGCTCCCGCCCCGCTGCCCCGCCAGTCCCCATCCCCTGCGTGCGGCAGCGACTCCCGCTTCGCCGCCCTTCAGGCAATTTCCCCACAACGAAAGCGGCCGAGCCCCGCGGCACCGCGCTCCCGGCAGCCTCCGACACCCAGCGTGAGCAGACAGCCGTCCCCCGCTCCCCCGGGGCCCGCGTCGGGCCTGGGCAGCTCCCTGCCATCCTGTCTGGGGCGGGGAAACACACTTTTGGGGCCGATTCCTCTCCCAGCCCCCCTGCCCCGCCAGATGTATTTACTCTCCGGCAGGGCGCTGCCAGAGGAGGGGGACATTTTCATTGTAGAAGCTGCAATAATTTATTCGCAGCCATCGGGACGTATTTGCAGTGACAAAGGAGGCTCTGAGGATCAGACTGAAAGCGTGAGCACCTCCAAGGGGCCCCTCTGGCCCGGTCCGCCGAGCAAACGCCTCTGCATGTCCTCGGGGAGCTCAGCCCGCTCTGCCAACCCCTCACACCTCCGCTTCGCCCAAAGCCCAGAGTTTTTAACCAAAAAGTATGAGTGCGGGTGCGACAGTGCAACATCCCAACATCACCCTTTCCCTGGCTTTCCCAGTACGCTGGCCACCCCCATGGTGTTCAGGGCTTCTCCGTTTCGCTTGGGCTTGTTTGGTTCAGTTTGTTTGGTTTTCAAAATGCTTTAAAATAACCTTCTCGGCCCCGCAGTAAGACAATAAAGGGAGAAGTGCCGGTGGCTGCCGGGGAAGCCCTCGCCGTGTGCCCGCGGGCTCGGCCACGCCAGCCCGCAGCATCTCCGGCCGGTTCAGACGGACCCCATTTCCGCGGTGGGGCCCTTTTGTTCCCCGCTCCTCCAGCCCCGCACCGCTCGGTGCGTGAGCCGCTTCTCTCACCTTGACTTGGCTCTCCGTCATCCCCAGGGAATAGGCCAGCCGGGCTCGCTCCGGGCCCGCCAGGTATTTCGTCTGTTCGAAAGTCTTTTCCAGAGCGAAAATCTGCTGGCCAGAAAAAGTGGGTCTTGTATGTTTTCTCTTTCCGTCCTTATCCAGCAAAATTGAGCCTTGATCTGGCGAAGGGAAGGAGGAAAGAAAGGGAAGGCAGGGACAGACAAGTTAATCTACGGATTTGGGAAAGCGCTTCACTCTCAAGCAGCCGCAGGGGATGGAAGGGTCTATACGCGGCGGGTGCGTGTGTGAGAAAACTACTGCCTAAGCAAGGCGACGGCTCTGGCCTTTCGGCTCTCCCTGACTATTTTTCCTGTAAGGATCAAAAATCTGAGCGGGAAAATGATATTAAAAAAAAAAAAAAAAAAAGGCCGCGGCCAGTGCGAGCTGGCGGTAAGAGAAAGTCCTGCTCGGGGAAAGTTTGTGCGCGCCCCTAAAGCCAACCCCGGCCCCGAGAGTGCCCAGCAGCGACGGCGGCAGCGAGGCCACCTTCCCCTCGGAGAGCTCCGCTCTTCGCAGGCGATAACCGGCGACATATTACGGAGTTTTGCTCTGACCGAGGGGACAGAGAAGGCAAAACGAACTTAAGAAACGAAAACAAATTAAATCGAGGCAAAGCCAGCCCCCTAGGCTACGGCCGGGCCCTGGGTGGAGGGGCAGGAGGGTGTCACAGCGATGCCGGGGCGCGGGGACTGCCCAGCAATGGGAGCGGACTCCCGCCGGGGCTCCCCGGACTCTCTCCCCCCGCTGCCCCGCGGCGCTGGGTACTCACGGGGGGCGCAGGCGAGGCGGGCATCCCTCCAGGGGGGGGTCTGCATTACCCCCGGCCAGAAGATGGGCGTCCGGCCGGGCAGCTCGGCCAGCGGCTTGGGGTAGCGCCCGGCGGCCACGGCGGCGGCGGCGGCGGCGGCCCCAGGGCTGAAGTAGAGGGCGGGCGGCGGCGGCGGCGGCGGGCTGAGGCTGCCGAAGCGGGGCAGCCCGGCCAGCAGCCCGGCGGGCGCCGCCGAAGAAGCGGAGGGCGAGGCGGAGGCGAGCGCGGCGCCCGGCAGGGGCATGGAGGGTCGGCTGAGGATGTCGTTGATGCCGTGTGGGGTGGCGGCCGAGAGCTGCGGCGGGGCCGTGCCCAGCGCCGAGAGCCCGCCCGCGGCGGCGGCGGAGGCGGCGGGCGCCTTGAGGCCGGGGGAGCCGAGCGGCGGCGAGGGAGAGGCGGAGGCTGGCGAGGCGGAGGCGGAGGAGGAGGAGGCGGGCCCGGCGGGCAGGGGGTACGCGGAGTACAGCGGCGCCTTCATCTCGGCCATGCTGTGCAGGGCGGCCAGCGGCGGGCTGCCCAGCAGGAAGGCGCCCTGCCGGGGCGCGCCGTCCATCTGCCCCAGCGCCAGCATCCCCGCGCCGCCGCCGCCGGCCCGGGGCGGGGGGCCCGGACGGCCCCTAGCGCCGCGGGGCCCCGGCGGCCGGCCCGGGGGTGCCGCCCGCACCGGAGACGAGCATCCAGCCCGCGGGGGCCGCCGCCTCTAGCGGGGAGCTACGCACCCGAGCGGCGGCCCCGCCGTCCCGCCGGGCATCGGGGCTGCGCCTCGGAGGACGCTCCCGGGGCGGAAAGCGGCGCTGCTGTCGGACGGCGGCTGTATGCGTCTGTCCGCGCAGAGGCCGTGCGCCTACACGGATGTATCGCCGCTCCCGCTGCCCGCCGGGGGCTCACAGCGGCGCGGGGGCCGCGCTCGCCGCCCCTGCCTCCTCCCCGGTGCCCCGCATCCCTCCCAGCGCGGTTCCCGCTGGCTGCTGTCGGGGCTGCGGGCGCGGCTCAGGGCGCACTGCCGCGCCGCCCCGCTCCCTGCCTCCTTTAGCGGGGGCACGGCCGGCAGCGGGCGCGGCGGCGGTGGCGGCGGCGGGACGGGGGCGGGGCGGCTGCCGGCCCTGCCCACCCGCCCCTCGCCCGCCCGGCCGCCAACTTCGGGCTCGCCTGGCTCCCCTCTCCTCTCTTCTCCCAGCTTTTCTTTTATTTCCCCCTCTTCTCTCTTCTCCTTTTCCCCTCTCCCTTTTTGTATTTTTCCTTTCTATTTTTTTCTTTTCCCTCTTCCTTTTTCTTTTCCCCTTTCTTTCCTCTTTTTCCTCTCCTCTTTCTTCTCCTTTTTCTCCCTTTTGCTCTCCGTTTTTTTCCCTCTCCTTTTTTCTCTTATTTTTAATTTTCTTCCTTGCTTTCCTTTTATCTTTCTTTTCTCCTTTTCCTTTCACGTTTTATTTTTATTTTTTAAATTTTAATCTGTTTTTCTACATTTTATTTCTTTTTCCTTCACTTTCTCCTTTCCCTTTCCTCTTTCCTTTTCTCTCTGCTTTTTTTCTTTCCCTTTTCTCATTTAATTTTTCGTATTCCTGTATTCATCTGTCTTCTCTCTTTCTCTCTTTCTCTCTCTCTTTCTCTCTTTCTTTCTCTCTTTCT